TAACATTCATCAATCAGTTTTATAGTCTTTTTTAATACGGTTTCAAGCCGTATTATGGAAAATTTTTCACATGATTGAAATGTCACCTTCAATTATAGCATTCATCAGCCATTTTCTAATGATGAGGATAAGCCTACTGTTGTTCGACAAGTAGCGTGGGCATAGCTTTGAAATGTTGCATTTGGCTGATGTGCTGCCCTGACAAATGGAAAGCGGAAGGGAGAACGGGGCTGCCAGGTATGTCAAGCATCTGCTTTGAAAAACAAATCGCAGAGCTGCCCACGCGTGCGATCGTTCTTGGTGCATTGAACGAAGACGATCGTTCACTCTTCTCCATCATTCTAACTGGTTGCCCTCACCGACGACGCTCCCGCCGGCGCCATCTGCACAGATCTGTAGACGTGCAGATTCATTTTGCATGTTGGAAGACGCCAACCTAGGATGAAGGCAAATTTAGGAGTACGAGGAAACTTTGAAGTGATAGGTTCTCAAAATCGTAATGGCTTCGCCTCCACTCTTCCCTAGATCGAGGCTGTGTTGACTTCGAGCGAAGCGAGGTCACTAAGCAGGTACCTCCCTCTTAAGAGGCGCTGGGACGATTGCATCTACCTGTGTCACTATAAGGTCACTAAGTCAGCGGTGCACGGAAAATTCTTTCTTCAAATGCTGAATGACCCTATTAAGTGGGCTGCTGAGTGTATCTGACTTTGATTTTGCACCTGTGGTCTGTCATTTCTGTTTGACTAATTTTATTTTGTGTTCTAGAATACTTCAAAACTCGTGCTCTCATTCAATTCCCCTGATGATTGGGAAATCAAGCATGTGTCAATAGTAACGTACTCGTGGTGGGAGTCTTCGGTGTCCGCGGTAGACAGGTACGCACACGCCGAATTCCCCAGCTCACTCACACTGGTCCGGAAGTTAAACCTTCCACACCCAAGTCCTTGCCACCTGATTACCCGAACTGGCAACGCAGCAAGTTCCACGCTCGCTTTCAAGGATATCACCTCATGCAGTAAACGAAGTCTCTTTAAAATATTACGTAATACGATGATATCTCCACGGTCCCAGTGGATGCAAAAAAGGAGGTCCTGAGAGTGTCAGAAGGTGATGCTGACGGTTCCTCCCATTTTTTGCCACAGCAGGCAATGTTGACTTCAATTGCTTTTGTGTTTTTCTGCAATACTAACATGATCAACACTAGAAATGCTTTCCTGCGTTATGTCGCCTTTACTAAGGTGGTGAGCCAGTTCCTAGGAGAGGGCTTGGTTTGACCACGGTAGAAGTTAAACACCACTTTTCTAACTCCGTTCGTGCGTCATTGGAGGGGATAAATGGCATTGGAACTACAGAAACTTTAATACCAAACCGAGATTTGTGATTTTGCGGGTTTCAAAGGTAACGCGATTGGGGTGAAGCTGTGCGCAGTAGTGAGTGGCAAGTGAGTCTCAGGAAAAGCAGCCAGTCGACGTACCTCAGGGCAGCTCATATGCAAACGTCGGCTCATGCCATGAAAGGATTGTAGGCTCGTGGAGCTCAACGGCAGGATCTACGAACAAATTTTATAACAGCGGGACGCACGACTTTGTGTTTGTCTTTAATGCGTCCGGTCGTGTTGATTCTGGCTCCATTACTGCATCGGACATTTCACCAGCTTGTGGGATGTCCAGACAACGCGTGGTTTGTCACGCAGTTGCATAAAAATTCGTCTTTCTGTAACAGAATCATTATAAAATCTTCACAATGCCTCCCGCTTTTGAAGGGAGCAGAAAGGTTGAACAAGCGATTGAATAAGGAAGGCCTACATACCACTTCGAGATCAAAATGCGCGTGAGGGTGACGAGGAATAGGGGGGTCAGGATTTCAAAATTTATGGCGCATTGAAAGCAGTGACATTAATAAAAAACTTTTATACTAAAGCACTACTGTTATTAGCTTAATACCCTATTTTTGACCCTTTAAAACATCCAAACGTCTTCTGTAGTCGCGTCTGCTTCATTGCTAAGGCCTGCCCGCTTGAAAGGAAGAAATTGGTCACAGTGGAACCGCGATTAAGAATTAAAAAGAGAGGCGTGCTTTTGGTAGCAATTTGTTCGACCAAAACACAGTCACCACGAACCAAAATAAATCTTTTAAATTGCAAGACCTAAGTGCACCCCAAACTGCATGAGGGATTAAAGCTAGAAAACTGAACGCAACAAATACCGTGCATTTGGAAGAAATTAAGTTGGACAGCCTTTGTGTTTTGAACTTTCAATATTTAGGCATTAAAAAGGGGATTCATGCTATTAGAAAAAGATAACGAAAGCCTAATTGAGATTTACCGTTTGCTGAAATAGACTAAAGGATCAGGAAAAGTTTACAAACCATTTATCGGGGAATAAAGAAACTACCACCCTTCATTCGTATTTTTTAATACCATTTCAGCATATCTAAAAATAATAATATCTCTTTAAGGATATATGTATTGCCTCATAGCCTAGTACCTTATTTCAGACCGCTAATCCTAGTAAGCCCCAAAAACAGCTTACCAAGAATGGAAGTAATTTTTCCGCCTGGTTTATCAAGAATATAAAAGAAAAGCTTCTTCGGTAAAGTCTTGTTTTCCACAATGGCGCAGTTTCATCTTACCCATTCTCTGCAGTGTGTTCGTGACTCACCTTCAGGCCTCACTTTTTAGATTCGGATAAAAGAATTGCACCCTCTCCTCCTAATTAGGCTCTGCTGGAGGATGTCTGCAGATCTAGAAAACACTTCTGTTCCGGCTCTCAGCGAATTTGTCGCGGCGAATTAACAAACATTCTAGAGTGTGCGCGAACTCGTGCTTCCGTTTACTTCTCCCAATTCATCAACATCACTTACGGATGGACTTCAAATGTGCCAACAATCGCTGTAGGTAAAGGTGAAACAACTAAAGTACCATTGAACACCACCTCGTCTTCGGCAGTTAGCCACCAGTCACGCATCTGCGGACCATGCTTCCGGCATACTCATACTATTCGGCGGATAAAGAAATACGTATTGAAGTCGTCTGACGACCGTGATTTGGAACGCAATGGGCCCAATTCAAGCCTAACAACTACGCAATAGAAAGCAGTAAAGTTGAAGACTAGAAACCCATATTGCGCAGTCTAGCATTAATATTGAGAAGTTATCAAAAAAGAATTTTACATCCACTCAAGCGAAATAAGAAATGTGACAAAGTGTGGAGGATCTTAAAAGCTAGTGGTAAAAAATTCGGTAAGTACCCAAATAAGAGTCTACATGGAGGACATTCAAGAAACCGCGGCATTTGTGGTCTCTCGATTTCTCCAACAGGCCATGATACACTTGTCCGGCAGGCAGGCAACCGAGCCGACAAACGCGATGCCGCAGAGCAGCAGAGCTGAGGTCATGAGAATGAGCAGGAACAATCCCATCTGTTGGTAGCACTTCAGGTGGCTGGGAAGTACCGCAGATCCCGCAAGTGCAGTGCTTAAGGCTGCACCGGTAACAGCCCATCCCACCGTCCCCAATGCCCTCTGACATCGACGTTTCCACGAAGCATCCTCGTTCCCATTGGACCGGATGATAGCTAAAGCCAGATGAATGCAAGGATCCACAGCAAGT